TCTCTCTGCCCCCCTTTTCTGTCTGTCTTCAGCTGTCACTATAATTAAGGCAATAAAAGCTCTAATCTAATCTCTAGTCTCTAATCATCCAGCACATGAAACAAATAGATCATTGTTAATCTACCAGCACAACAATAATAATGCTAATAATGAATACTCTAAATGTGAGTTTGTAGATATTTCCTACCTACTGGAGGTTGTAGTTCTTGTTTTTCTTCACTGCTACAGTCCTGTTGTCACTGTGTCTGTACTCAACATCTAGGAATGTTTTTATGCCTTTAAAAAGAGTTGATGATATACCGTATATAGATTTATTTGGCAATAATAAAGGTAAATACAAGACTGTAGTCGCCTTGTCCTCGTACAGTTACATTGTTGAAGATAAAAACACTAAAATGTTTATTTCCCCTGTGCTCCTTACAATAGGAAAAGGTAAAATGAGTTTGTGTCTGAATGCCAGCACAGAGAAAAAAATGTTTTGCCCACACATGAATTCTATTTTGTAGAGAAATTATCACTCACAGTATAATTTTATTTGTACCAGAAGGTGGCAGCATAATCAAAGTGGCAACCTAAAGCCACAGGAAGACTTCGTAATGCTGCAGGGCGGCTTTTTCCTGCCCCTCAAGAATTCAGTCTACTGACCAAGGGAGGCCTGCAGTTAAAGGAGTCTGCTGTGGTTTAGATATACATCCAAGATCAGGGAGATAATATAAACTCAGAGTTTCTGTTTGTTCATCGAGGTTAATAAAAGCAAAATGAATAATGTAATTAGACCTGTGGTGTGTTTTGCTTTGGATACTGTCCAAAACAGTTTATATAACAGCTTGTGATAATTGTTTTTTAAGTGAATGATGGTAACCACTAGAGGAAGCCAGAGAAACATTGAGAGTACTTCTGATTGTGGCCTTTAATGAATCAGCAACCTTTCAAATACTCTTCCAGGAACTGAAATCCGGCCTGATTTAACCCCTGATGCACAGACTGGACCATTTGCTACAGTTACCATACAGCTGAAGGAGGTTTTTCTCCATGGCTTCTGTCTGTGCAGACAGTTTGGTGCCATGTTTGATCCCAGCTGTCACTCTGGTTTCTGTGTATCTCAGTGATTGAAACAAGGGTCCCCCAGTATGATGTAGAGCAGGGGTCTCAAACTGAAAATGTCTTGGGGCCACTGCTGCTACTGTCATCTCATAGGAGGGCCATTTTACTGATCGAATACTAAACTACTATACATTTTGATATGATAATGTTAGATAATCTTTGTTGTTCGCAGCCAAACAACAAATAAACAGTTTGCAGACCACTTTGACCTTATTTTGTGCCAAACATTATACTATTTTTATTTTATTTTAATTGTTTATGAAAGGTATATGAAGTTTAAATTTAAAAAAAATAAAATGTAGACCGGAAGAAGGAGGATGGAGGGCCGGAGATGGACCCCGTGCCGTCAGTTTGAGACATTTGTTGTTGTATTTCACACATTGTAAAGCATGACTCTGTCTCTTCTGTCTATATGTGTGCTTTTTTCCTTCTTGACAAGTAGACATTTCTCTATTAGTTTATCAGACCCCTCCCCAGGCTCAGCTGCAGCCTGTGTGTGTCAGAAAGAGATAACCCAGACTTGGTGCAGATCTCTGCCGGTCCAGAGGACTGGGACATGACCCGGTGTGACTTTTCAAAACTGCCTCCTTCAGTTAATACGTAGTAAATATCAGTGCTTTTCAAACATCCTATTTTCTGTTCCTGTTTTGTTTTTTAATGCTGTTTTCTCTTTGGCGTAAATAGAAAGGGCCTCGTAGGGGGCAAACAGTTATTTCATAATCATACTAGAGCTTAAATAGCTGCTTCTAACGCATGAATGTGTTTATTTTAAGATAGAAACATAAAGTAGAGATAAAGTCATTCATAATATTGAAAGTAAATCTTTTCAGATCTGCTTTAACATTATGTATTATGTATTATGTATTATTTTAATGTGATATTATATTAATACATTGACATTTACTGGTGATATATAACCAATATCATAATTTACTGTTACCATACAGTTGCATTTTGAACTAATCAGCAGTGCAGCTATAGGTCAGCCTATAAAAGACCTCCTATATGAATCTTGTGTTCAATATAAAATGGCCACAGGTCTAACACACACACTAACTAAAGGACATCAGTTCAGCACAAGCAAATGAAGTAAGAATGTGCATTTTCCAAATAACTGCAGGTGGGATGTTTTTTCTCTCTCTCTCTCTCTCACACACACACACACACACACGTAGGTTTCTGGTTTCGTTTCCAGCACCGACCGCGCAGAAATGGCTGGGTGGGGGGGGCGGAGGTGCTGGAGGGTCACAGAGGAAGTGAAAATGAAATCCAGCTCAAAGATCGTCTATGTTTTTGAAGAAGCAGGATTCGGTGCTGGATTGTTTCTTCACCACGTGGTCCTCTGCAGTTGGCAACACCCTTACATTTTGTTTGACTCAACCTTACGTGTTTTTAATGAAGTTTCATTTGGTGATATTTGCAACATTTATCCACGGTGTTTTAGTTATGGATGGGTGTTTCTCAACCTCATTACCAGCTGTTGCATGAAAAAGGGAAACCTAATCTGTTTATGCACATTCGTTGTTGTATTTCACACATTCCCGTGCAAAGGAAGCCTCTTGATTTGAATTGGTCTCCACACTCTGGTTCAGAGATAATTGATTAATCACAATGGGAAATTGTGTTGTTACAGCAGCCAAAGTCACTTATAACTCACAAAACAAACTACTAAAGGACACTCAAAGATAAAAGATAAAATGAAATAACAAAACTGAAATAATAACTAAAATTTGTAACTTTATATTTAACCAAAACCATAGTACTGTGTGTGCAAAATATCAGTACAATCTATATATACACAGGTACACGGGGTAATTTGATTTTAATTTAAGATAAGATAAGATA